CGGATTAAACTGAAAACCAAAGTGATCAATTTAACAAAAGTAGAAGTTTTTTATGCAATGAATATGTTTAAACATGTCATTGTAAACTGATTTAATTAGATATTGATTCTTACCTCATAATTTTCCTTCATGTGCCCTTCGAGGGCCAGCTGGATGTCACTCACAGATGCATATTTTTTGTTTGTAGGCTCTAAACCCATGGTGTCACAGAGGACAAAGGGTAGGACGTCTCCATTCTCTTTGCTTATCTCATGAGTCATATACTGAAACATATGAAGAAAAAACAAACTTATGTGGAATTGTTAGTTACTCAGACGACACAGAGTTTTATAGTATCAGTGTCAGAAGCTTTGATAATGTTAGTCCCTTCAATCTCTGAACTCTGGGGTCAGAACACAGATCTGCTCCACACCGACCCACAGAGGGGTCAGTCCTCCCCTCTTTAATCCTTCTCATACAGTGGTCACCTCATGTTTAACCCAAACAGGAGAAACAGACACTGCTTTTCCCTTCTGTTACTGCATCATATCTGTGTGTTTGGAGGGAACAGCCTCCTCAGTGACCTGAGAGGAGTGACCTGCATCATGCTGTGGAACATTTAACAGATACGTTTAAAGCAAAGCAGCACATCCATTATACCAAGGACACACAAAAATCAGACACGTACATTGTACATGATTATAGCTGACTCAGCATCTCACCACAGTGCAGATGTATTATATATGAAGTCAGATTGAGAGGAAAAACAACAGCAATATCTCAGGAAAAGTCAGATGGATTGGAATCAATACAAAAACACCATTGGGCTAAGGCTCCCCTCCTTTGGCTGCCACCTTACTGTGGTGGAGGGGTTTGAGTGGAGTGGTCGCAGGACAGATAAGGCAGTTTTTCTTCGTCAATTGACTTATTTAAATGTCTTCCTACCTTGTTGGTGAAGCTTCCATCATTGGTTTTTGAATTGGCCAAAGCACCAGATACCAAACGTTGTTTCATGATACTCATGACAGAGGTGATGAAGCTGGACTTCCCGGCACCGACTGGTCCACAAAGCATCACTCTGAGGTGCTTAATGCTCTTGGAAGGTTTGAAATTTCTCACATATTCAAGATCTTTTCTCTCGTCACTGTAAATAGAATATTTGATTTTTCACTAACATAGAACATCGATGAGATACTATAGACACATGATAAACCCATACTCACTCCCATGAAAATCTCCTCCAGTCTTCATTTAAGACTGGAAGCAAATTCACAAATTTTAATTCAACATTTCAATCAAGAAACAAGCAGAAAATAACTTAACTTATGAAACAACTTGCAGCCAAACCTTTTCAGGATGAATAAACTATGGTAGCTGTCAAAGTTATTTTAGTAAATATACTACTGAAGAGTTTCTTTAGTTAAGGGGTTCCACATCTGAACCTTCTCTGCCACCATCTGTAATTATAATCTCTGTTTCCTTCACTCAGGAACAGTTTCTTAATTATCTATCTGGTTTCGGCTTTGGTAAAGTTAATTTTTTAGATTAGCTTCTTCTTTCTGTGATTTATAAATTAAACATTTTAGTTTTTTGTCTTTGTTGCTTCTGCCAGTGTAAAGAATATAGAAATTGACATTATTATTAAAGTTACGATTGAATGATCTAGACATCGGTAATCCATTGGTTTTCTTCTTCTTAGTTAAAAAAGTTGATAAGATAAAAATTAAACTCTGTATTTAGAATGCTTTTCTATTCATTGTTCTGTGCTGGAAAGTATAAATGCTGTTTTAATAAGTTTAACTCTCTCTTACTGTAAATTTTAAGTTGGGATTTAACGATCTGCTTCCGATTGCTAATGCCTAGCCTAGCCTGTGTGCCGAACGTGTGGCTCTCTTTCGTCCATTACAACATTGGATTTAACGGAGCTACATCGTGTCCGTGATGCATTTTAATTTTCCCCTTTTACAGGTAAGAGCAAGAATTGTTTTATGTTTGAATCGTTTATGAATGCACCCGTATTGTTTCGGTAATGTGGAGAGTAAACATGGACTCATGAATACTTTCTGTGCACTTAGTAGACAGAACATGATGCGTTAGTTTAGCTACATGCTAACTGTGTCAGGCGGAGTAATGCTACGAGGTGGATCAAATAGAACGCTGTTGCCATTTTTTCTCCAATTGTATTTGTTTTATATGGTAAGAACACGATAAAAGTGCTGTTTAGGAATATTGTTCAGACAATGTTTTGTAAAAGAGAATGACATTTGTAATAATGTGAACACATGTCTACATCGTATCTGTGTTGTATTTCTATTTTCCCCTTTTACAAGGGTGTAACACCTGCACATTCTGCTGTTCAGGTCCTCTTTCTGTCTCCATGGAGTTGCCTGTCTCCATTCAATTTTCAATTCAATTTTATTTATATAGCGGCACATCACAACAACAGTTGTCTACTCTGAAGTTAGTTACAGAAACCCAACATTTTCCAGCTGTCAGATCTATCAGAATCAGGCTATAGATTACAACGAAAACACAGAGAAGAATAAAGAATTTAAAAAAAAATTCCAGCAGAAATGGATCGTACCTGCAGGACGTTTGGAATTTTTCCCTCCCATAGCTGCTGGAAAATAACAGAGAAAACCTTTCAAAATGAGATACAATTTAGAATTATTCATTCCTGTCAAATGGACACAGCAGATGAAAAAGTTTTGTGGTCTGTGGGTTCTGATGGAGTTTTATTCTGCTGGTCATATTTGAGTCAGGATGTTTCTAATGTGCTGGTTTACTTTGCTGTTTGCTGTTACAGCTTTAAGGTTAAGTGATTTAATTCTCACAACGCTGCCTTACATCCACAGATGTATTTTCAGTCCAGATTAGACATGTATCATGACTCACAAGCCGCAGACATTCAAGAAAATAAACTCGGAAAGAAATCTAAAACATGATGCACCTGTTAACCATCCAAAATGTGTCTCACCTGTATAAATCTTTGTATATTGCTGTAACACCAAATGATGGAATAACCTCAGAATAAATAGAGTCCTTACCTGCTCTGCTGGTGTTCTGCAACAAATTAATTAAGAGAGGAAAAGCAAAGCTAATAAAAGGACCACAGGGTGTGTCGCTCATCATGTGACTAATGTGAGAGCTGTGTTATGTCATTAGTGTACGCATCTACAGTTTCGGTGAATTAATCATAGAACTACGTAACATGCTGTTTCTGGACTGGGAGGAAGCTGGAGAACCCACTTATAGACGGGGAGAACATTTCTGTCCATCCACACAGAAAGAACTCCTAATAATGTACTTCTGCAGATGTTTGGGCAGATTTCTGTTTCCCAGCTGTGTGAAATGAACACAGATAGAAAAACAGGGACATGCCTCATGAAATGTGTAAAGATAAAGCCATCTCAGATAAAGTCATTTTCTCTCAGAAAACCATATTGAGCAGCAGCTTGTTTAACAACAATTCTGTCAAACCTGTCCAGCAGAAACCTGCTAACAACTGAAGGTTATTAAAGTTAAAGGGAGACAAACTGCTTTGTTTCTCTGAAGTCATCTGACCTTAAAGTGGGAGGATCTTTGATATCATGATGGTGTTCCTCCACCTTCCTGCTGTTTAACACTAAACCACCACGCTTACTGAATGATGGGTAACACAGGTAGGACTTTCTCTGTTTGACTATTTGCAGACTAAGAAACATCAGTTGAGGATTAATTCTATGAGAAGATGTTCCAGAAATGATTTGTTAGCTATTGTATGATTATGAGCCATCAGCTGTTTGAGCCACAAAAGAAAACAGGAAATAGAGTTCAATGTCAGACAAGTGATGATACGAAAAGATCCATGCAGGCAGCTATTTGGGTTAAACTTGAAGATGAAGAGTTCCCTACTTGATAAAGTAGGGTTTTGTATAAAGTGTGAGATTAATGTGGCTGCTGAATGAAGTTAAGTTTATCTTCTTTTAACACTATTCTTTTAAGCTATCTTTTCTGTTATTTATAATCACTTATTTGACTTGTATGTATATATATTCTTTACATGATGGTACAAGGTTATAACATGGAGTGGAAGATCCAAATGTAGGACCTCAATTTAGTTTAGTTAACTAAATGTGCAGCCAGAGCTGGTATTCCACAGAAATCTAAACCTTGAAACTAAGGGGAACCCAATTTAACCACAAGACATGAAAACAGAAGAAAAACGAACCAGGAGTACAGGGAGAACCAGGAAAACCAGGCTTTCAACCGTATGGAATGAGGAAACTGGAAGCAGAACAGGTGTGTCAGGGAGCACACCAGAAAGGAACTAAGTTGCTGAGAGGAAGACTAGTGAAAGTCAAGGGAGTGGAAACACAGCCAATCATTGGACAGAAACCAGAAGAAGACACAGAAAGACAAGAAACTTTTAATAGACAGGAACAAGGAAATAATGTCAAACATCAATCCATCCAATCTTTATTATACCACTTATCCACTGACCGTGCTAAACATGGTTCATGGTTCTTGGCCGACATGAATCAGTGATTCTTAATCATTTTACATGTTGTTGTTTTTTTGTTTCTGTCCGTTAGGGGAGGGAGAAATTTCAAACCTGAAGGTGAGATCCATTTCTGATGGAAAATAAAAGCTGTTTACCTTTCTCTGTGAAACCCACAGAACAGAACAAAAAAAGCCCACATAACCAAGAACATCCTAATTGCTGTTTGATGCACTGGAAATAATGCATGTAATAAATATCTATATTAGATCGGACCGTCCAGGGTGAACCCGCTTCTCACCCATTGAACACTTGGATAGGCTCCGGTTCCCCCGCGACCCCATTAGGGAATAAATGGTAATGATATTGGATGGATGGATGGATATTTGATTAATATTTCACATTATTATGTATCCTGTAACACAATGCAGATGAATTTATGTCAAGCACTACTTATTTTTCTGATTATAGGCTGATACTTGAAAGTCAGGGATCAATAAAATACATCTTTATTTTATCTTATTTAGCCCGGTTAAGCGTAAGTGTACCCAAAAGTCCATCCAATCATTATCCACCAACAAGAAAGGTTCAAAGGTTGTTTCCACGAAAACCTGGAGCTTCATGAAGCCGCTTCAGCAATGGAGGTGCGGAGTCTGGCCCACTCGGATTAAATGTCACCCACTTCCATCAAAATGTGTTCAAAGCTCTTCTAGAGTAAGAAGATGGAGCTCCCTCTCATGGGGAACTCTGCCAGTTGACCCCGACAATACGTTTGGGCCTGACAGGCCTAACCAGCATTCTCTCCCACCATCAGAGCCACTACACCCCCAGGTAGTGGTCAGAGGAAAGCTCTGGCCCCCTCTTAGCCTGAGTGTCCAAAACATGCAGCCGCAGATCAGATGACACGACAACAAAGTCGATCATCAATCTGCAGCCTAGAGTCCTGGTGCCAAGACAACATATGGACCCCCTTATGCTTAAACATGGTGTTCGATATGGACAGTCCATGACAAGCACAGCTGTTCTGTAACAAGGGGGGAAGCTACCCTCTCACTCAGCAGGGTGAGCTCCAACGTGAAGGTATCAAGATGGGGGGAGACAAGTATGCCCACTCTTGCTGGGTGACTCTAACTCCAGGATAGAGTGTCCAACCTCAATAGAGAAGACTGGTTCCAGAACCAGAGCTGAGCATCGAGGTGAGTCTGGTTATTTCTAGCTGGAACCTCTCAGCATCACACACCAACTCGGGCTCCATCCACCCCAGAGATGTGACGTTCCACATCCCAAGATCCAGTCTACAGGCATGGATCCACCGAGGGCCCCGCCTTGGTGACCTTCCTTTGTGTTGGGAGGATCTCTTTCTAAACCAGCTCTGCTCATTGGTTGGGATTCAGGAGGCCTCTGATTTAAGGTGTGCAGGACCTGAATGAGGATCTACTCCAACACACTGAGTGGAATAGAGACTTAAAACATGAGGGAACATTAGTAAATGACACAAAGCTGATCTCCAGGTAGCAACCTGTTAGTCTGACCATTAGATATGTCTGCCTGTCTGGATGAAGCTATTTGACCAGGAATCAGTCAGATTGGTTCATTCACCTGCTTTTCTTTTTCTGTCCTTCATGTAAAAACGCAGTTACTTTCTACAGAGTGTCTAATGGAGCTTCCTTTGGTGCTGATCAGCAGCTGCTGGATCAACTCAAGGAATATCCTCATTTCCATTTAAAAGAAGCAAAAGGAAAGCATCTGGATAAATGTCAGATTATTTTGGTGTTCTGTATCATCAACACTCGCATAGAGTCAGATGTGGAGGCTGCCATGGAACAAATCCCAGGTAATATGAGGAAAAAACTTTATTTAAAAATATGTTATTTGGTTTGACTATATGATTTAGATCATACAATCAAAAACAAAACTGTATAAAATTCTTCACATCCAACGGCTAAACTGGTCTAAAAAACTACGTATTAGCTTTGCAGTGTTTAAAGAATAGAATAATTATAATGATAATGTTAATCCTCCCTGAGCCTTTACGGTGAATTTTAACTTCTCTTCTTTAATCTCAGAGTCAGCTGGTGATAAACCTGTGATTCTTGTTGTGATGCACCACACCAGAGACATCGACTTTTTTGCTACAAAGAAGAAATGGAAGAAAGATTATGAACAAGTTCAGCTTGATGTGGAAGTTCTCTTTCACAGGACTGAAGAAGGGTTACTGAAATGTGAGAAGAACCAGCAAGCTGTTGAAGAAATACTAAGCAATGTTAAACACATAAGAAATAAAGTATATCAGAAATGGTTGAAAGGGCAGAAAAGAGGGACTGAGAGGGGAGGAAAGGAGAAGAAACAAGAAGATGGAGGAGGAAAGGAGGAGAGGAAAGGAGAAGGAGGAGGAAATTACATGAAAAAGGAAGTAGGAGGAAAGGAGGAGCAGAACGAAGACGGAGGAGAAAATTAGAAGACAAGGGAGAGAGGAGAAAAGGAGGAGAGGAAAGAGGAGGGAGGAGGAAAGGAGAAGAAAAAGGAGAAAGGAGGAAAAGAAAGAAGGATGAGAAAAGGGAGAGAGGAAATAGGAGGGAGTGTCATGGGTTTACATGTCTTTTTTCTGTTTCCTGTTCTGTATTGTAGTCCTTTCTGTCTTGTTGTTCCACTTCATCCTTTTTGATTACCCGACTCCTCTGTAATCACCTCCACCTGTGCCTCATTGTTTGTCAATTTAGTCAGTTGTTCAAGCATTGTTCTTGTCTTGTCTTGCCTAGTGATCCTGACCTCTGCCGGCCATCTTTTGTACTGCCTGATCCTTTTTGCCTGTACGTGTACCGACCATTTTCGAAAATAAACAACGTGATTTGGGATATCCTTGCCTGGAGTCATGCATTTCAGTCCTAGTGTTCCCAGTGTGATAGGGGGGAGGAAAAGAGGAGGGAGGAGGAAAGGAGTAAAGGGAGGACATGAGTCCAGCAGGAAGGAGGACAGAAACAGCCCTCTGAGCTTTGTCTGGAACATGTCCGACCTGCAGACGGATACTGGAACCAGACCTCACTTTGTGTCCACATGATGGAACTGATGAGTCCAGATGCTGTTTGATGAGCTGCTGTTATCTTCTCATTAAAAAGCTCCACCACACTGTTACCGCCTCACTGAGTATGACTGAAGGGGTTCTCCCACCAAAACCCAATCAGGACCAAACCGAGTCTGTACAAATCTGGGATCCGTTTAACAAAGCAAGTTTCATGAAACTTCTGAGTTTGTTTCTGTTTCCGTAGCAACATCCTCCCCAGAACTAACCTGGTCAACAGCAGGTTTTCCTACATAAACTCAGTTTCCTCTGTTCCCGCCCCCTTTAAAACACTCACACAGTTTAATTTCATCATTCGGACGGCAGAGTTTTTTCATGCTTCTGTGCGAATAGGAAAAAAACAGGTGATTTAAACACAAATGTGGCAGGAACTTTTGTTCTTTTGACAAGGAACCATTGATGAAGGTGCGGCATTAATTCAAAGAGAATTAAACATTAATCTGTAGAGTTATCTGAGCGCCTGAAGATGTTGTTTTCACGTCCAGAGAATCATCCATCTCATACAGTCACCACATTTACAGCTTTATAGCATCAGTGCTGTCACATCCCAGCAGGTTTTATGTGTAGTGCTGCATTTTGTTTTTTTATTTTCATTTTATTTTATTTTGTATTTTTATTATTTTTTAGATGCACCTCCCCGCACATCCATTATGTGAATGTTGAACAGAAATGGTGTTCAATTGAGAAGATGATTATCATGTGAAAAAAGAATAAACATAGTCGGGAACAAAGAGATCTTGATTGGTCAGAGAATCAAAACGCATGTCAGTGATAATCAGTGAAGCTTTATTAGAAACATCAGGATTAACTGTTAAAGCAGCTCATGAATCATTCCCACATATTTGGGATGCACAGATAAAAGAGATTATTATTACAACAATTAACAGTTCCATTAGTTTGTTATTGCTAAGACAACAACTCTCTGGGGCTCAGGCTACGACATAAATCTGGTTTCAGTATTTGGTTGAAGTATTTTCTATCCGGTTTAAGTCCAAAGAATGGATGCATGTTTTAAGACATCAGTTTTCCATCTGGCTGACCTGAATAAAGGCGGTCTGCTGAAGACCAGGCTCTCTGGTGTCTTCCTGCTGGTGTCTTCCTGCTGGCTAAAGGCTGTCGTTAGCAGAAAGGCTGTTGGACATGTTTTCAGCTTCATGCGGGACTTTTGATTTTTTAATTTTTTTTTTTTTTTTATACTATCTCTGTTTTCTCGAGTCACAGATGATCCCAGCTTTTTTCACCATTATCTCTTTTTTTTTCATTTCCTGGTTTATTCCTCATTTGTATGACTGTTTTTTTTCAGGAAGTGTTTTATTTCTTTAACAGCTTGTTTGTTTTTCTCACATCTCAGTAATCCTTTCTTACTCTTGTGAAAGAGAACTTCCACATCAAACTGAACTTGTTCATATTTTTCAGTCCATTTCTTCCTTGTGGTTTCAAAGTTGATGTCTCTGGTGTGGTGCATTAGAACAAGAATCACAGGTTTATCACCAGCTGATTCTGAGATTAAAGCAGAGAAAAAGAAAGTTAGAAATTCACAGTAAAAGCTTAGGGAGGATGATTAGAACACATCATTCTTATTCATTTTTTTAAACACTCAAAAGCTATTTAGTAGACTAATTTAGAAATGTGAACAATTTTGTTAGAGTTCGAAGTAGAAATGACTGAATTTAAGACTGTATTGTGTGATAATTAGGTCTGAATTTTATTAATGTGACAAAACTGGTCAAATAGTAATGGTAACAGTGATGGCAATAACATAAAAAAACTATTAATGATGCTTAAATGAAATAGGACTGAATAAATTAAAAAATCGTCATATCACCTGGGATTTGTTCTATGGCAGCCTCCACATCTGACTCTATGCGAGTGTTGATGGTACAGAACACAAAAATAATCTGACATTCATTTTGATGTATTGCATCTGCTTCTTTCAGGTAGATTTCACGAGATTTATTAAGTTTATCCAGCAGCTTCTGATCCGCACCACAGGAAGAACCACATGGCACTCTGTAGAAAGTAACTGTTTTTTTACATGGGACAGAAAAAGAAAAGCAGGTGAATGAACCGATCTGACTGATTCCTGATCAGATAGCTTCATCCAGACAGGCAGACATATCTGATGGTCAGACTAACAGGTTGCTACCTGGAGATCAGCTTTGTGTCATTTACTAATGTTCCCTCATGTTTTAAGTCTCTATTGCACTCAGTGTGTTGGAGTAGATCCTCATTCAGGTCCTGCACACCTTAAATCAGAGGCCTCCTGAGTCCCAACCAATGAGCAGAGCTGGTTTAAACAGAGATCCCCCTGTTGGCTCTGAAACCGCTCTTCTAGTCTGGACTCACTTTTGGTGAGAGGAGCTGAGCGGAAGTGTGGATAATAGTGTGAAGTCCATGATAGGGAGTCCCTGGGAGAGTTCCCCTCCCAGGGACTCCCTTGTTCTGCTGGGGGACTTGAATGCTCAAATGTCTGTGTGTGTTCCTGTAATGGACTGACCTCTGTAGGGTGGACCCCGCCTCTTTCTCGTTGTTAGCTTCGATTGGCTCTTCTCCTGCTGCGAACCTGTGGGGAATAAGCATTATGGAAAATTGATCGATGGACGTTTGACATTTTTTCCTTGTTTCCAGTCTATTTAGAGTTGTACACTTTCATCAGTCTTCCTCTCACCAACTCAATTCCTTTCAGCTGTGCTCCTTGTCACACCTGTTCTGCATCCACTATTCACTTTGTCCCATAATTAAGCTTCTCCAGTTCACTCATTCCTCATTTGAACCTGCTATCAGGTGTATATACGAAATGCAGTCACTGTTGTTGTTGTTAATTGAGTTCATAACCAATAAAAAAAAATTGTAATTTGAATGTCTGAATAATCTTTTTGCTGATAATCAGCATCTTCCTCCACGAAATGCCATCTCTAGTTGCTGCTGAGTCTGACTGAGCTTGGTGTCTGATGCAGAAACAGCTGAGCCATCAGCAGGTGGCAGCACAGGCTGACAGACAAATGTTCTGTGCTAGAGTCTTTGGTCAGTTTGCAGAAAGCTGCTGGTCCTGGTTTTAACTGTGAGCTCAGTTTTCTGGTTCCAGATAACTGCAGCAGCAACAGCGTCCACCTGCTGCCACCATGTGGTCAGAGTTCATCTATTTATTAAGTCTTTCTCAGCTTTAGACATCAGAAGTGGAAGAAACCTCTAAAAACTGAAATACATACGTAATTACAGCCAAAAACAGATTAATGTTTAGCAAAGAGCTGCTGGATTGATTTTTTTTCCTGCCTGCATGTATCTTTTGGTATCATCAGTCTTCTATTTCCTGTTTTCCGTTGTGGCTCAAACAGCTAATGCCTCATAGTTGTACAATAGCTCACAAATCATTTCTGGAACATCTTCTCATAGAATTAATCCTAAACTGATTTTCTAAGTTCTGTAAATAGTCAAACAGAGAAAGTCCTACCTGTGTTACCCATCAGTCAGTTAGTGTGGTGGTTTAGTGTTAAACAGCAGGAAGGTGGAGGAACACCATCATGATATCAGAGATCCTCCCACTTTAAGGTCAGATGACTTCAGAGAAACAAAGCAGTTTGTCTCCTTTGGACTTTGATAACCTTCAGTTGTTAGCAGGTTTGTACTCGAAAGGTTTGTTTCTATTTGAACAAGCTGCTCCTGAATCTGTTTATCTCAGACAAACTGACTTTATCTACATTTCACTCTCTGTGTGAATGTTGGATTGTAGATCTATGATTCCTTTGTCAACACCATAAACGTACACAGTAATGACAAACAACAGTTCTCACGCAAGTGATGAAAAGACACACCCTGTGGTCCTTTTTCTTGGTTTTGCTTTTTCAGTTTTTTTCACTATACCAAAGCAAACATAAAGTGAATGGAGCAGAACAAACTGGAGCTCAGAGCAGCTAACTGAGCCGGTCTAAGGTGGAGGGTTAGCAGCACCCAAACGCTCACAGAATGCTTAGAGGAAATGTTTTGATAATCCTGAGAGCTTCAATAAAATCAGATGGACTTCTAAAACCAAAAAGTGCTATTCAGTTTTATTCAAAAAGACCTAATCACAACAAACATATCTTAACACCTCAGATCTGGTCCAATTCCCGCCGTTAGAGTCCAGTTAATTTAGAAGAATCATAATCCAAGAAAGTCTTAATCATAAAACTCCAAATCAGTCCAATTTATTCAAATCCAGTTCACAAAAACGTTTCCTCTCTGGGGAAACCAACAGATTCTGCTCTCTGATTCGATCCCTGTGCGGATCCTGGTCCAGGACCAGCAGAGGTGCATCATGGGAGCTGCCTTTACTGAAGCTCTGGGGTTGTTCTGAGGTCCAAATCAGCAGCAGGAGTCATGTGACCGGACATATTGTGTTTCTTTATGTCCCGTTTTGCAACTTCAGAATTAAAATGACCTGAAACAACAACTGAATTTGTGATGATATTCATCTCAACCTGTGAACTTTTTGTCCATCATGAGAATGTTGAACAGAAATTATGTGCAATAAAACTGTGAGAAGATAATAGACGGTTTGCTCTTTCTTCTGTTCTGTTGCTGCCTAAAGTCGGAGCTCTTTGGGCTGCTGTCCTGCAGGTTTCAGGTTTTCTCTGCTCCAGCTGATCCACTTATCAGAATCAGCTTTGTAGAAACAGGAAGCCTCTAAAACCTGCAGGCCGGACCCCTGAGTTAGTTTATCCACATTAAAACATGAGCGTGTACTACTGTACTCTCTGGTACTTCTGGGAGGCTGACAGCGCTCCTCTCACTTCAAGTCAATTTTAGAGATTCTGAAGTCGGGAACAAAGAGATCCTGATCAGTTAAAGAATGAAAACACATGTCAGTGATAAACAGTGAAGCTTTATTAGAAACATCAGGATTAACTGTTACTGAGACTGTTAAAGCAGTTCATGAATCATTCCCACATATTTGGGATGCACAGATAAAAGAGATTATTAACACAACAATTACCAATTCCATTACTTTGTTATTGCTAAAACAACAACTCTCTGGCACTCAGGCTATAACATAAATCTGGTTTCAGGGTTTGGTTGAAATAATTTCTAATTGGTTTAAGTCCAAAGAATGGATGCACGTTTTAAGACATCAGTTGTCCATCTGGCTGACCTGAATAAAGGCGGTCTGCTGAAGACCAGGCTCTCTGGTGTCTTCCTGCTGGTGTCTTCCTGCTGGCTAAAGGCTTCTTATGGGGAGGATGTCGTTAGCAGAAAGGCTGTTGGACATGTTTTCAGTTTTATGGGGGACTTTTGATGTTCTCAGAGTTTTTAAGCATTTTTATTTTCTGGAGTTACAGAAAAAGATAATCCCCTGCTTTTTCCTTCTTATCTTCTTTTTTCATTTCCCTGGTTTCTTTCTTTTTTTAATCATAATTTCTTTCAGGGACTTTTTTATTTCTTCAACAGCTTGTTTGTTCTTCTTACATCTTAGTAACCCTCCTTCAGTTCTGTGAAAGAGAACTTCCACATCAAGCTGAACCCGTTCATATTTTTCCTTCCATTCCCTCTGGTAATTTGTTGTTGTAAAGTCGATGTCTCTTTTGTGGTGCATCAGAACAAGAATCACAGGTTTATCACCAGCTGATTCTGAGTTTAAAGCAGAGAAAAAGAAAGTTAGAAATTCACTTTAAAGGCTCAGGGAAGAGGATTAGAAAGATGATATTCTTAATCTATTCTTTAAACACTGCAAAGCGGTTCAGTAGTTTCTAAAACCTTTTACAGTTTGGTTTAATAGATTTAAATCTTATATACATATAAGATTATCTTATCAAACTAAATCACTTGATGATGATATAAATGTTTTTAAATAAAGATATGTCCTCATATTACCTGGGATTTGTTCCATGGCAGCCTTAACATCAGACTCTATGCGAGTGTTGATGATACAGAACACAAAAATAATCTGACAGTCATTCAGATCTGCTTCTTTTAGATGGAATTTACTAAATTCATTGAGTTGAACCAGCAGCTGCTGATCAGCACCAAAGGAAGCTCCATGAGACACTCTGGAGAAAGTAACTGTTTTTTTATCTGAAGGACGGAAAAAGAAAAGCAGGTGAATGAATCAATCTGACTGATTCCTGATCAAACAGCTTCATCCAGACAGGCAGACATATCTGATGGTCAGACTAACAGGTTGCTACCTGGAGATCAGCTTTGTGTCATTTACTAATGTTCCCTCATGTTTTAAGTCTCTATTCCCCTCAGTGTGTTGGAGTAGATCCTCATTCAGGTCCTGCACACCTTAAATCAGAGGCCTGCTGAGTCCCAACCAATGAGCAGAGCTGGTTTAAACAGAGATCCTCCTGTACTCCCATTCCCACCAGCTGTGCAGCAGCTCTTTGTTTTCTTACAGTGGAGCAGTGATGTGAGGGCACCGATAAATGGTTGTAATTCTAACACATTATGACATTAATTAATACGTGTGTGTGCCTTTTGGTTTTATGCCACCATTTATGCAAACCTGCTTCAGTACTAGAAGTAACTTATGATGGGCTTCATTTCATGGGTTTTGATTATATACCACTTTTTCAACTCCTGTGGAAAGCACATAACGCACGTTAAGAGAATCAAAATCCCCCCAGAGCATCACTCTGCTCTCAGGACCCTGAGAAAATTGTTCCCAGAAGTATCCCAGAAGTATTGGGACTCTTTTAGTAGACAGAGCTTTTAGGGGGGGGGGGGGTAACAAAGACATTTGTGTAATAAAAAGAAGAATGTACCTCTTTGAAGGGCCTGTTCTTAATGACTGATTTGTTTTTATATGCATGCTTGATTGGGCTAAATAAGATGAAGATGTACTTTATTGATCCCTGAATTGGTACAGTAGTAGGAAGCAGCAGCAAGACAAACAGAAAACTGTGACAGGCTGAGCATAAAACCTCCAAATCTGTACTACAAATCCTATAACGGTGATGGCAGCTGTGCCCCTGATTTTAAAAGTGATGAGAGTTCACTGTGTGACCCAATCCAGCTCCAGTAGTATTTAAGTCAGTCACTGAACAGGCTGATGAGGCAGAAAGCTTCTCTCTGTTCCTCAGAGGAGCAGAGAGGCTAGAATGAATTCATACATGACGATACCTTCATTCAGATCTGGTGGCAGACGATCTCGCAGTCTCTCTATGTTTGCATGGGCCTTCAGGTGAGACAGGGAACAAGGGTTTAAACTCAGAAACACAAACGGTTAATCCTTTTTTACATAACACATACGTCAGATGGAGTGTTCTATTTGTGATTTTTGGTTTGTGTTTTTATTTTCACATTTTTTCATTTATCCTTTATGATCATTGCTTTATTTTTGTTTTTTCCTTCCTGGTTTCTGTTATAGGTTGTTTGTTCTCAGTCCCTCAGGTCCTTTTTGTTCTGGTTTTCAGCTCCAATTCTTCTTCTCCCTGTCCTTTTTTCTGCTGTATTCAGGTATCGGGATACTAACCCTGTAAAACCATATGTTTCATATCTGATGCACAGTTTTCTTTTGCATCATAATGTAAAAACTACTCCAAACGCTTTTGTAAACAATCAGATAAACCTGGTGACAGCAGGCAGAAGACTACAGACAATAATTTTGTCTAATCACACAGCAATCATTTATTAATATTAAAAAACTATTTCTGTTTATTTTTTCCCATAAAGAGCCAAATAAAGTATCCGACTGAGAAAATTGACCATTTTCTATTTTTGCTTGGAACAGGATTTAAAAGGTTAACAGACTTGATTGATTAGATTTAGTCTATTACAATAGGTTAGATTCTAATTTGCTTGAATGGAAGAATATCTTCGGAGTGCCTGAGATTAAATCTTCTGTGATTTGGAGGAAAAAAATGTTTGATTGTGGATGTATTCTCACATGTGGATCCTGTGTATCTGTTCCCTCCTCAGATAGATGAGAAGCAATGGGTATCAGATCTGCATTGTGGAACAGGATGCATAATTATGTAGGACATTTATTAGATATAGATATTTGTTTCATGCATTGTCGCCAGCAAATTTACAAAAATTTAAAAAATTCTGGGTTTTAGTTTTTGTAGGCTGTTTTTGTTTGTTCTGTAAAAAATGCCAGTGATGAGTTTTGGCTTTTTTTAAACTTTACAATAATTCTCATTTCCTGTTTGTTGTGTTAATAAATAAATAAG